CAAACCAGAACTCGAAATTGGAGTATTTCGATTATTGAAAGGAGATAGAGAGAGCAATTTTTTACTTATTTCTTTATTAAAATATGTAATACTTACATGCATTGTAGATATAGCAAGCGCTAAATCGGACAGTCAAATGCTTACCTTGGATTGACTGTGACTGTGCCTGTGCTATCGCTCCCGCCAAATTAGAAATAAGCCACGTGATTGGGCAAGGAGAACATGACGCACAATCCATTTCGGGCTGTGTGGAACATCGGCGCATTTTGTCCAACATGGCTCCTGGTCGTTGCTACAATTGCCAGAAAAACTGTGATACTAAGCGATGTACTGGCTGCCAACAAGCATCCTACTGTTCAAAAACCTGTCAGAGAACTCACTGGCATAAACACAAGGAAAACTGTATCCAAGCAGACTCTTCAGTACACGAACTATCCAAGGTTTGCTTGTGGGATATTTTCCCTGCACGTTGGTCGGCAGTTTCACGCGACTATGGATTCGATAACGTCCGTATATTCCACCAAGATGTATTATGGTCAAGCGAAAATATGACTGCAGAAACTATTTTGCTTGGCACGTTTCAGCTCATTATAAAGGACGTGGGCAATCTTGAATTTGGTGACACTATTTACGTATTCAATGCCATCGATGCGTCAAAGAAGATGATTGTCAAAGCCGTTGAAAACAATGAACTAGATGACTTTATTCATCGTTACATCCGAAACGTGCTCAGTCGTCACGGAAAAGCAAGCCCAAAGTACTTGTTTGGATGGATATGGAACCGTCTTGTTATTGGCCCTACTCGAACTGATGGTCTCACTGAACAGCAAATCCAAGAAATGCGACAAAAAATCTACAACAAGTACTATGGAAGTGTGAATTCCCCGAACTGTTGCTGTTTGACTTTAAGACAGGCACCGATTGTCGAACATCCTTCACGATGTTAATGAGGTCGTTTCATCAGTTGACAAGGGTAAGCGTTAGGCCAGCATTAGTTAGTAAAGCAAATGTATTCTTGGCACCATCAATCTTTCAAATTGTAAATTGTGCATTAAGCACCCGGCAGACTTTGCGTTTGGCGTTTTAAAACTATCACAAGACTTCAAGAAAAGTTATAAATTGTTCCAATTGTTAGTGGGTTATCAGGGGTTGAATAAGGTCACATCTAGTGAATTTGTGAGACTTCAAATGACATTCTGTTATGTTGGGGTCCCATTGACTATTCCTTAAAATTGCAGTACACGTGGAAGTAGCCTAGTTATAGAAAACAATAAAATAAGCAATCAATTTACACATAGATTCGAGGCTTTTTCTCCTGTGCTGGGAATTTAAGAATAGTCTATAGAGGGACATCAACATAGATGCAACAGCATTTGTACTCAAAATATCGCTTGTGTGCAATGTATAACACCTAAACTATGATATGTACTCCTTTGAAACTTGGCATGTATGAATGTAAATCAACATGGGTAATGGTCATCAAACACTCACAAAAAAAGAATCAATTATTCCTGGCAATCATTTCACCCATTGAGTTGAGTCGCCATAAAAGAGCATGTTTTTTTCAGAAAAACAGTATATTTTGAGTTTTTAGATCACAATTTTTTCATTCTATTCTATTTATACTTTCATGAGAAAACCAGTGTYATTCAAGGTGTTTTCACCATATAAAAGTTTATATATATTTTTATACTGTTCTTAATGTATTTGCTGTTCAATATTTTAGTGGTATCTTTTTAATAGATGTACATTAGTTTGTATGATTGTGTGGTATAAACACACCCAATTAAAACCATTGTTTATCTATGAAACCAATGTTTTTTATCACTTGAATTGCTTACACATCCTGTAGCATGAGAATCACACTGAGCCGTCTCCCCTAAAACATCAGTAAGTTGCTGGGAGATTCTCTAACCCTCAACTTAGAAGCMCTACTAATGTATCTACTTTCTTTGTGTACAGTTATGTTGAAAGGGGGGAGGGGATGTTTGGGTCAAGGGTCTGTGGCACACCCTTTTGCTGAACAAAAAAAAAAAAAAAAGGACACAGAAAACTCTCAAAACAATTTGCTAATTTTTTTATTTATAATTTGCACTTTCGAGTTGAGGAAGCAAAGGCAGATTCCTGCGAAAATTAGACCCGTGAAATAGATAGTCATAGCACGGGGGGGGGGGGGGGGAATAATCGACCCCGTTTTGGATAGGTACGTACTCTCGAGTTCTTCACATGCCTCATGAAACTCCTACACATGCAGTGATGGGAAATCGGTACAGCTTAAAAAAAGAAGAGGAAGAAAACAGATGCACATGCACTAAGCGTAATGAGGCAATTTCAGAAGATGTCCATTGTGCATAATCGTATCACAACATTTACCACGCTTGGTATTTCAGGTGTCCCACATATAGGGTGAGTGATGTCGGGAACGAGACTCATAACGGCTGGAAGAGGAGACGATTGCAAAAATATACAGAAAAATATGAACTTCATTTGATAGCATCTTTGCATTATTGATCGTTTTGAAGGTAGATGGTTAATCAAAACGCCTATTAGAGTGAAGTCCGAAACACCGTGCAGAAATAGATGCTTCACTTTAGTACCCTTTAATTCCATTGTTTTCTTTTGTTTCTATTTGTACTCGACCCCCTTTTGGATAGGTGCGTGCCGCCAGTGGTCTAAAACCCTGAACCTGTTTAAGACATTAGAAAGTGAAAATCCATACCCTGTTCAAGACAAATCGGAAAAATAAGGAAAAGTTATCTACGCCGCAACCATCAAAACTGCAATTATACTGACATAGTCACAATAAAAAGTTTTTGATAACACGTTAATCCTGGTACAGTTTAACGGTATTTCTACGGTATTTCTTATGAAAATATTACCCTGTCCAAGACACACAAAAAAAYTATMTCGGTCTATTATCTAAAATGTAGAGCCTGTTTAAGACAATTTCGGGTGAAATGTATACCCTGTTTAAGACAGCAAGGCCAAAAACCGTACCAAGACATAGGAATTCAGTGAGGCATGGCATGGACTCGTGCTTTTTTTYCCAATGCATTGTGGGATCAGTTTCTAGAGAAAACAAGAAATCCGCCATGTTCTGTCTCACAAATATCCCACAATGCATTGCGTGTATGGTACATGATAAAAAGCTTCAGAGGTCTATTCGTTGATACAAAATCAAAACAGCTAAAGCTAAAATAACAACAAAACGCAAGTAAAATTATGTCAGAGCCTTTGGGCTACTGGCGACACAAATATACCTAAAGTAACTACAATACGCATACTGATTCTTGTCTCCACTACCCTACCCTGGGTACCAGAGGCTAGATTTACTTCCCCTAGTATTGGATTTACTCTTTCTCTAGTCCTTAGCTGGTTTACGTTAAGATGGCCCTTCGTACCGTAAATTAATAAACTATAAGAAAGAGTAAATCCAGCCTCTGGTACCCAGGGTATGTCTGCACCATTAATTTGGGCACACTTTCGTATGGACTGGACGCACTGAATCCGCATAACAAATATTGATTACCAGTAAATAGTGTTGATTAAACAATAGAAAAAAAGGAACTGCCATAATTTAGTGCTATATTGCCTTATGCCCCGTTCAGACTCACGGATTAASTGCGTTGTCTCTGACAGATTTTTAAAATGCTATTCAATGAAGATTTTTTTWAAATCACTTTGCATTCAGCCTAGGCTTTTCTTGACACAATGGCAAGTTATGAACGATTCGCTTATAAGGCCACCAAAGAGGTCCAGTATTTTTAGATTGCAAGCTTTACCCATAGTTYAACATAGTTAATTAACTATGATATTAACTATGCTTTAGCTGACTATCTTTTGTTATGTAATATTTGAAGAGCAGGCTTGAGTGTTTGAAAACGCGTTGTTGTAAGACTGCGTGATACCTGGTACTTRGTAGTTTTTGCAAGTCTTTTTAAGAACAAAGTGGCTACTCGCGTCACCGTTTGCTATACGCGTCGCTTTAGGTTTGCTTGGTAACTGAGTCTTACTTTGTTTGGAAAACTATTGGAGAGTGTACCGACGCGGAAGCTATGTATGCAATTTTATGCTAATTTGCTGTTTTCTTTTGTTCAAGTTGCACTGTTTGGGACAATTGAGTGATTACTGCTTTACGCTTTTACTAGAGAACGCACTCTCTCGCATCATATTCAGCTCGATCAGCCAAATCGCTWGTCTGACGCTAGTCTTGCGGCTTCGAATTTAATTTTCATGGAATTTCTGAAGTATCGGTTCGCAGTCGATAAAAGACTCCCTTCAGCCACTTCAAGCCACTTTTTGSTACTCACTATTATGACATTAATCATTTTTTACGATGTCACTCATCTCGAGAAGTCAAAGAAACGGATGCTACTGAAAGATCTCGCCAAATTCCTCAAATTCGAAAACTGAAGCGGTAAGTTAATTTAAATATGTGTTAAACGACTTTACGAATATGCTTTTTTAGTATATTTATACCTGCAATAGTGAGTCATAAAGTAGAAATTCACTTACTCTCTGATAACCAGAGATATTTTTATTGGCTTGGTTTTGATCATAATTTCTTACAGTTTTCAATGCAAAAAATGGCACCAAAGTGAAGTTAGTCACAGATTGAGAGTCTCAGATTCGGATTGATGAACATTCAGAATTGATTCCAGATTCGCTCAAAAATGTTTTCGTGAACGCCATATGGTTATTACCTACATTGCATTGCATACGATAAATTTCATGCCATGAAACCATTTTTAAGCAACCCCATCAAAGTTCGGATGTCTAATGAAGCCTTCTTTGACGTCATTTTAAGATTGGAACTTTATAACTCAAATACACAACACTGAAATGAAGGAATATTTCACCATTCAATATTTATGTTATATAAATCAGCTCACAAAGAATCAGAATTTGTTTTGTCAGGCGTCATAGGCACTTTAAAGCTTTTAACATGTTTTAAAGTAAAATAGAACCGCTGTGGCTGTTTACTGCAATTGGTTGACATCCTGCATTGGTCAATGATCAGGTATCAAACCTGAGACCTTTGCTAGGGTCATAGACCTTTATATCTGATAAAGGTCACCCTTATTGGTATTTTTATATGAAGAATACTAATAAGGAGTGTTTTATCAGATATAAAGGTCCATATTGGCCTAATACAGCTAATAACTCATTAATTATGTATGAGTTTTTGAAGCTTTAAAAAGCTTATAGTGTCTTATAAACAGAGCTACAAAGCTTTTTGTGGGAGCTTTGATCTGTGAGGGTATCGATAAAAAGCTGAAACTGAAACAGCTGAAACTGAAACAGCTGAAAGAGCTGAAAGAGCTGAAATTCCAGAAATTCCAGAAATTCCAGAAATTAAGATAATAAATTTTAAATTTGTTTCGAATTACAAGTTTAAAAGGTTTTCCTACAAAGATAACGCTGTCACACGTTGCAGTTTTTGTTTCGGGCAAAAAGTCGTAGTTAAACAGAGCGAACTTAGGCAATCAGTCTGTACACAGGCTTATATTTGTTTTGATAAGAGCTCTGGTTCACTTTGACCTTAGCTGTCAAAAAGGACGATGATCAGGTATGTTATAAGTTACTTTTTTGGGAGATGCAACACCTTTCCCTCATTGTTCATTGGTCAACAAAGCCAACCACCTATTGTGAGGTCATTCGCGGGGACTTTCGTAGGTTTACCACAGGGGTAAACTGTCACCATATGTCAGAAAAGTAAATCTTTGAATGATGTTATATATACGCAAGTCAATATTGTACAATAATTTGAATTTGAATATTGTACAATATTTTAAAGTTGATTATTATTAAAATATGGACAATGTGTTGTTGTTATTTTTTGCTAGGATGCTATTTTTTGTCTGTTTGTTTTTTTTGTTGTTGTTGTTTTCTCGTCAACCAAACCATGGTCAAAGTTCGCGGATTGTATACTGGTTATACATTTCGTGTTTCAGGGACGTCCGTCACGCGTATGTTTTCGTTGTACCATGATAACTATCAGTGATGATGGGTAATTACCAGAGAGAGTATCGGTTTACAGCGCTGGTCATGCACCGGGTTCCTTAGCCTGTGTACATCCGTTTCTCACCCCTCAAAAAATCGGGGAGAGAACGCCCCGATTTTTTGAGGGGTGAGAAACGGATGTACACAGGCTACGGGTTCCTATTCCTGTCTAGCTTAGTCACGCTGCAGTTCCGTTCTGACCAGATACACGTCGAGTTCTTTCTCTCTTTTACTTTCAAATCGAACCAAGCAAACGCCCTCTCGTCGGTTYAARACAATCTCTAGGGTTTCTCGTTCTCACTCAAATCATGGCACGAAAAACGCCGTAATTGATTAGGTTGTTGTTCTTGGTGCGTAATAAAAAGCGTCATTTAACTACGTTTAAATTCGTTCAAGACATTTTAAKGACAAAATAACAAATGGAAGAAATAAAAATTCTACTGAGCAATCCATAATTTTAGCTGTACTATAAAGGATAGTACAAAGCTCGCTTTTGTTATGAGTTTTGTTTGGTAATTTGAAACGAAAAAGATTTATCATGAGTATCTTAATTTCTGGAATTTCTGGAATTTCAGCTCTTTCAGCTCTTTCAGCTCTTTAAGCTCTTTCAGCTCTTTCAGTTTCAGCTTTTTATCGATACCCGATCTGTGACAAGGAAAAATTCTATAGTTCATTATAGTTAAGTCATCAACATTTTTTGATAAAAAGGGATTAGCGATCCCGAGGTCAATGTCTGTTTACATTGTTTTGAGATTAAAATTTCACAATACAGGATAGAATGCCTTATCAATGATCTATAATTCAAGAATAGTCCAGAAAAGAATAGATTTGGCCCCGTCCACACGATCCAGCCCAGTGTGTTTGCAAATGTCTTCTGTAATACGGTATTTACTCTCCAAGATGAGGGAAATCATGCAATTTCTAAAACTGGACAGGTTGAACTGATGGTTCTTTTGATCTCTTTTCAGATCTATTGTGATTTTGTGTTTGACATTCATTTATCGAATTAAATTAATGATCGCATTAAATTTGCATCTGTAAACTTATCTTTCAGATTACGCCGTCCGTTAGACCACTTTATTCCGTGATGACTTCCAACATTAACAACAAGACAAGCCTTAACATCTGCAAAGCTTTTCTATTTTTTTTTATCAGCACTTACACTTTAAGAATAATTTTCAGTTCTGTTTACTTCAARCAGCTGGGTCTGACGTCCTTCCATACTGGCACCCTCCAAGGAGCGTCATTTATTGCTAAGGCATTCGGGGCTTTTGCCTTTGGTTACGTTGCAGACAGAGCAAATTTACGCAAAGTGATTTTCCTGACGTCTGTGTTTGCATGTGCTGCCACGCCTTTTTTACTGACATTACCACAACCAAAAGAACAACATTGTATACACTATTCACTCAGGTCATCGCACGTACAGTTGCCATCAAAGAATAACAGCAATACAACATCTTTCACAACGGGAAATGACGCGTTTATAAAGTCAGTGAAAAAAAGGTCTACGCCATATTCAAATGAGCAAACTTACTCCTACAATATAAACGACACTGTTATTTCAACGCATTCCAAAGCGTTTCACCGGCTGCTTGAATTCGTTCAGCGAACTCTCAAAAAACAAAAAATTGACGAAATCCATCTTGATCATGACAAAGGGCGGAGGAAGACAAATTGGAAACAAAGCAAGCTAATCGCACACCATATTGATTCAAATAGATCAAAATCACATRAAGACAAGTTGCCAGAATTACAAACTGACACTCATGATAATAAAACGTCCCATCAACGAAAAGTACAAATCAACTTGGCATTTGATAATGAAATGACAACATTATTTGCTGTTTTGTTGTGTATCATCATCATTGGAGATTTCATAAGTGGACCGGCTGTCAATTTAACTGACACTGCAATTATGCATCTTCTTGAAGACGATAAAGAAGAGTACGGAAAGGTCCGACTTTGGAGCAACGTTGGCCAAATGATTCTTATTCCATCAGTGGCTGTAGTCGTCTACTTTCAACAAATCAAAATTTGTGGTGTGTTATTTGATAATTACATAATCTCTTTGTACATAGTGTCCGCGGGGATGGCAGTGGCTTTCTTGGTTGGTTTCAAAGTTCAAATGCCTTCTTCAATACAGCTCAGCCCGCACACAAGCGATGAAAAAGAGAGAACGTCTTTACAGGAGTTTCTCAAAAACTTTCTTTCACCTTTAGCCAACTGGAGTCTTCTGGTAAATGCATTCTTTTTTGGGGTTTTCATCAGCATCTTCCAAACGTTCCTGTTTTGGACCATGATTGATCTTGACCCATYACAAGCATCTCTGTCAGTTGGTGTTGCTAATTTCTGTCGTAATATATCGTCTATGATATCGTTTTATGTTTCTACTAAATTGCTGCGATATGTCAGTGCTCATACGATGATAAGCATTTCCCATATCCTGTTCGTGATATCGTTTATCATTACTGGCTTTTTTCGCAATCCGTGGCTTGCCATCATCCCAGACTCACTGATATATGTTGCATTCGCTTTCTCAATGACGGCTTGTGTGATGCATGTAGGGAAAACCGCAGCTGAAAGTTGGTCAGCAACTGGTCAAGGTAGGGATCATACTTGCATTGATATAGAAATTATTTTGTGTAGGTTTCTCATATCACGCGAACTCAAATAATCTTGGGCCTTACCAGAGCATTTCATTAAGATGGTGCACAAAAGGCATGCCGTAAGAGTAGTGGCCAAAACAATTGCATGGTTTATATGGTTGTGATAAAGCCAGGTTTCTCGATAAAAATGGCGAAGTGAATAATCGACTCGGTCGATCGACTCGGTGCATACTTTTTAGGTTGGTATTTTAATGGTTTCGGCTTAAAAGATCAAGTCATAGAGCGGATTTCGTATGAGTGGGACACCGTTACCGCACGGTTACCGCACAGTTACCGGACCTGGCCTTCACATTTTTGGTGAACCAATGGGGCACTAGAATTTGATTACAGTACGATTACGGTCACAGTACAGTACCGTCCGTTTCCAACTCATACGAAATCCGCTCTATTGTCAGCTAATGGAAAGACAAATGGTTTACAGTCATGTCCGCTGTAAAATTAAGCTTGCAGCTTTTTCAAATTGAACACCCATTCGCAGTGGTCAGTATAAATAACGTTCTTTTAACCAACATAAACAACTTCTAGTAACTTTCAATTTCATTCCCCGGACAATTTCAATAACATTTCATTCTTCTTATAGAATCTACGGATACATGTGATTAGTAAATTTATAGGCTGGGTCTCTTTCTGAGTTTTTATGCAGGTACGCTGGTTTTCCTCCCTTAGTCCAAAAAGTAGCTGTGAGGAGCGTCGTATCTGAATACCAGAGTGCAGATTTCGTTGGTCAATTGAGTGATATAAAAAATATTGCAAAATTCTCATCGTAATTCGTTTGTTTCAGCTTTTCTTCAAGTTTTATACAGTGGTATTGGTCCTGGAGTAGGTCCATTGGTGGCAGGCATCCTCATGGAGCATTTTGGACAAATCTGGACCTACCTCTTATTTGCTGGACTAACTGTTCTGGTGTTAGCATTTTCTCTGGCTGTGCAACTGATTTTAAAGTTTACGGAGAATCAGTACCAACCGGTTCCAAACAAACATATAGATGAATGAGCAAATAAACCAGAGAGAGAGAGAGAGAGAGAGAAAAAAAAAACGAACGAGAGAGAATAATCGAAAGAACACTAAATAATTTCTCATGACTTGATAGCAAGCAAACCTGTTGAAAACGCGCAACGAAAACGAGTTTTTCAGACTCATTAAAACTCGTTAATAATAATAATGACAGGGTAAATTTTGAAAAGCACAAGTCTATAAAAATAGTTTATTCACATCATGTATTATGGTTCTAATGGACCCAATTTAATGAAAACAGCAACAACCTCTTTTAGCGATCTCATTCACACTATGTTAGCCTCAAAACAATGCAATATATTCTTTTATTCAGTAAAACCTCATGTAGTACGAGATCTGTGAGTATAGAAGACAATGAAAATAGCATGAAATCTCACAAATTTTATCTAAATTTCTGCATATTTTACACCCAATGAGGCTAACATAGGGTAAAAGAGATCATGAAACTCAACTATTATTGTTGAATACATGTAGTTTGTTATTCATGTTGTTAGCTCTTGAAACTCATTGACAAACAATAGTAAAATAATTTAGAATAAGTTTTCAAAAGAATTGGTGGAGAACTGTGTTCATGGGTTTATTACATTGATGCCACAATGCAAATCACCTACTCTGCCAGTCTCCCTATGTGCAGTTAAAACCCTTTCCTCGTGCTATATGTAACTAGACCATTTCCAAGATGTCCAGATACTTTCAAAAAAAAAAAAAAAAAAAAAAACAAAAAAAACGAGGTACCTTGGGGCAAAAGTATAGTAGTAAGACAAATTGTGAAGAGATCTCAAAATTTTTGAAAGCATCTTGGAAATAATCCATTTGTGCAAGGTTGGTTGCTTGAAAAGCATGTWGATAGAGTTGTTTCATTAAAGCTTTATATGTTGTATTCTAATAAAAGGATAAACAGCTCAATTCTATTTGGCTTTGTTAAGTGCTACTTGCATGTCAATGATTTTGAGTAATTCAAATATGAACACTCATTTATGTTATCAAAAACTTATCCTACACCAGGTAAGTTTTTGTCTCAAAAGTACAAAAAACACAAGGATGGAGTAAATAATAATAATAACAACGTTATTTACTCCAACATTTTTGGCCAAAATTCTTTAAACTGATTAGTGATTATCAACATCTTATTAAAATATGTTGTTATTTAACCCATATAGATAAGTCTACAAGAATGCCTTCATGTCTTTTCCAATGTTTGGCAGTGTTTATCCAAGGAAAATTTTTCTAGAATAATTGTCATTTAAATTGGTCCACCATTTTTTGATTCTGTTTATTATTAGATGATTCATGCACAAGTTGGTATAATTTGGCTTGAAAGGTCGAGTTGGCCCTACTAGTAGCATTAAAAAAACAGGTTTACTCAATAGACTTGTGAAGATTTTAYGTCACCTAATTGACTTACAATGCATTGTGCAATCATTGTCTGGAGACAAAATAAATTTGTATGTAGGTTATATACATGTAACGTAAGAGTTTCAAAGGTCTATTCTTGAATTAGTGTATAATATAAAAGCCTACAATAACAGCAAATTCCTTAAGGCCGATTTACACAACACAATTTTGACCTAYGGCTTGTAGTGTAGTGTAGACTCAAAAGAGCTTCAAGTYGYGCCATGTAAATGCCCCTATGACTCACGAYTTGTAGTAGAGTTTTAAGCAAAGCATYAAAATCCTACGACTAGTYGCAGGAAAAYGAWGTGATTTCTCTCCAATTAAGACTGGAACTAGTATTTCCACAAATCAAATTGCRAGTTTATGCATTCGAAAGAAAGACACTTGAGAAGKCAAAATGGCAGGTTTGAATCTATTTTAATTCCAAAAGAAAAGTTGAAACAGCAATCTGCAACTGTATACRACAGTCGTGAGTGYTCGAATGGTACCTACGACCTGTTGCAGAAAAATCTGTAAACTACAAGTTGYTTGTCAAAATCGTGTAAAATTGGCCTTTACAATTTGTATTGTGTTTAAAAACTACCTTTCTGTGGMATGCCTTTCTTTTTTCTCTCTTGACAGTAATACTATTTTCAAGCTTCTACATCCCAGGAAGATATCCATATGTGTTGGTTGGCAATAGACTAGGTCTTCTACATGTTCGTTTTTAGACATTCAGTTTTTACTCCAAAGATTATCATTTCTTCATTAATTTACTGTAGTTATGTTCATATTTACATCAAAATAAAGTCTCTTTGCTAACAAAACTTGACAGACCAATTATTWAWYKWAMACAACTTTCAAAGGATGGAGTCTGGTCAACGTGCTTCAGGTATCAATGCTTGTCCAACATTAAATCCTGGTGTGTGCTTGCTTTGTTCAAATATTTGACAAACCAAAGTGACCAGCAGCATGTTAAGTTAATATGCTTTGCAAAGTATTTCCATCATAAAATACAAAGAATCATGGATAAACTCCTTCTGGTAATGAATGAACGACTGCATTCCACTGTTTATCTTTGCGTTATTTTTTTGTAATCTGTACGTCTACGTTTTTTGCTTGGATGCATGARTAAAGCTTTTGTTTTGAACGTTTCGCAATCACGAACATCCTCTCCTCCAAAATGGTGATCTATCGAATCTCGCTACGTTGAGCATTCCGAAAAGAAAATACAGTTCCCCAAGCCACTGTAACATATCAGAAACACAGCTGATATAAAAACAACCGTGCAAATTGTACACGGGCGTCTTTCAAGAAAGAAACTGGCCAGGTAGAGAGTCATAAACATTGAATGATTATTCAACATAAAAGGGTTCAGTGGACGCGGTATCAGCAACAAAGGAAGCAACCATTGTAGACAATACATGGTTTCTGAGAATCTTGCGGTGTCTTGCTAGTTAAAAARTGCCAAAATGGAGAGTTTGAGGGTTAAAAATCCACAAATAGAAATAATCCAACATGGCCGCCATAACTCTTGACCTTTCTTGCTATTTGTGAGCATGACGAGATGTAGCCTCACTTTCATGCAKGCAGCTCAACTTTTTCTCTTTGTATTTTTCATTTGTGTCAAACTCTACTTTTCATTTTATTCATCTTAAAAATAGTTGTTTATATTTTCCTTCTGGATCTAATCTTTAACTTTCTGTAGTTTTTAGCCACAAAATCGAGCCTACAATT